TAAATATTTGATCTTCGTTTCGTGAAGTTGATTTTTGTGTGTGTGCGCGTGTTGCGGGTTCAGGTTGGTAGCAGGTTGGCTTGGAGCAGAAATTATGCCGCGAAAGACATAAAATTCGGTGTTGAGGCGCGAGCGTTGATGCTTAAAGGTGTTGAAGAGCTCGCTGATGCCGTTAAAATTACAATGGGGCCGAAAGTAAGTCATCATTGAGGATTTTGAGTATGTTGTTGTTTCGGTAATTAATGGACTTGAATTATTTGAAAACAGTGTCAGTGGTGAACTATAATAATTATATATTTTTTCATGAAATTAGAAAAAATCTTGGTGACAATTTTGCATATATGAAAAAACTGTGGCATCTTTTTAGCTATTAAGCAATATCCAAATGGATGATATCTGTTATGCCTACTAGCATGATCATTGACTAGCGTGCTCCAAATTTGGGAGGAATGGAACTTGACATGAAAAAGGAAATCAGAGGAAAGGGATGGTTGTCCTGTTCCCTTTTGTGAAGGAAATATGGAGGGAGAAGTATTTCCATTGGATTTGTTCTTAACGTTTTCAGAACTCCGACAGATAGACAAGTCAATATGGTGAATGTAGGAATTTCATTTCTTTTTTCCCCTTGTTGGGCAGGAAGTTGGTTCAAGGTATTCTGTTTCCCATTACCATGTGATGGGAATGTATCCTGCTTTATTCATTTCATGAAGGGATGTTTCCTGTTTTCTCCATTTCAATTCTATGTTGCTGCTGTCATTTTGTCCTTGGAGTGTGCATAGCTGCTATGTCCATATTTCCCTATCCAGTATTTTTTGGTTATATGCTCGTGAGTTGTTTGATGTGATGACCAGTGTTACCCATTTGCCTTTTCTAAAGGGACGCAATGTTGTTTTGGAACAAAGTTTTGGAGCCCCTAAAGTCACAAAGGATGGTGTTACTGTGGCGAAGAGCATTGAGTTCAAAGACAGATTCAAGAACATTGGTGCTAGCCTTGTAAAGCAGGTTGCTAATGCTACAAACGATGTTGCAGGCGATGGTAGGCTTCCTTACATACTAATAACGCTTCCCTCGTAGTTTTTTGTTGAACTAAATATTGTTGCTATTGATGTGTAGCTTGATTATTACAATAGTGGTATCTTCTTGACAAATATTACTTTTGACCTCCACCAAATCTCAATCAAATTGGAGGAACCTCCTGAGTTCATGGGTGGTGATAAGAATGCTTGTTCGACATGTTTTCAGGTACGACTTGTGCAACAATCCTCACCCGTGCTATATGTTCTGAAGGGTGCAAGTCAGTGGCAGCTGGAATGAATGCCATGGACTTGAGACGCGGCATCTCAATGGCAGTTGATGCTGTGGTGACAAACTTGAAAAGCAGGACACGGATGATCAGCACATCTGAAGAAATAGCACAGGTTTACTTTATTGAGTTCTTTCTATTTAAAGAATAAACATGTTATCGAAAGTTCTTGGCCCTTGGGAATTGAGGGTACTATTGTGGCATTATAGCAAATGATTTACTGTATTACTGATCATTTATTTCAAAAAGGTTGGCACAATATCAGCAAATGGGGAAAGAGAGATTGGTGAGCTTATAGCAAAGGCTATGGAGAAAGTTGGCAAAGAGGGTGTTATTACCATTGCTGTAAGTGGCTTTCTTCTTTATTTGTTATTTTTAGTTACCCTCATTGCTTGCGTATTTGAATTCTTCAATTACTGTGGCCCCCTCTCCTCTTGCTTCCTTTTCCCTTTCCTCTTCTGTAAAGGATGCTGTCAATTGTGTGTGATGTCACCAAATAACGGTTGTTACTTGTTATTAACAGTGGCTTGTACATTGAGCCAAAGAGGATGTTCTTAACAATGGAATACACACCGAGGGTTTTAGCACTCTAAATCTGTTGCTATGTTCAAAAAATAATAATTTTTTTTGTATTGTAATTTCTGTGGAGGGTTGATATGTTTCTTACTGTGCTAATTTTTTCATTTGTTTCTTTTGGTTAGCTTGTACTACCTTTGTAGCAGTGAGTATTTATCCCAAAGGAAAATAAAATAGGATCTGTGATAGGAGGAGTGTGTGCGCCTGCATTCTTTCATGGGGAGTTCTCTCGTAAAAATGTAAAACCACTGAGGTTCTCTTTGGTATTGATTTAATTTCTGTGGTAACTGTTGCAGGATGGGAAAACCCTATACAATGAATTGGAGGTGGTTGAGGGAATGAAGCTGGACAGAGGCTATATATCCCCTTACTTCATCACCAATCCAAAGAACCAAAAATGTGTCAGTATTTTATTTTTCTCTGAACCAGTTACCGCTTTATAACATGCATCACCCATTTATGATTTCTCAGCAGTTATTGGTTGGGCTTCTGCGTGGGATTTTTCGGTAATTTTATCCCCTTGCACAATACATCATTGCAGGTTTACCTTCTAACAGAGTTTCCCCCCATTTTATGTTCAGGAATTAGAAGATCCGCTTATTTTAATTCATGAGAAAAAAATCTCAAGCTTAAATGCTGTGGTGAAAGTGCTAGAGTTGGCACTGAAGGTAAACAGTTAGTGTGAGCTAACTAGTATAATTTATGTTTATCTTATTTTTATTTTACCAAGTTTATTTGTTTGCTCAGAAGCAAAGACCTTTGCTGATTGTTTCTGAAGATGTGGAAAGTGAAGCCTTAGCCACTCTCATTCTCAACAAGCTTCGTGCTGGAATCAAGGTGTCCCGAAATTCTTATTATAAATATATAACTTCTCTGAGTCCATTAACTTAGGAAGCCATCTGCATAGGTTGGGTATGAAACTCTATCTTGATCTAATTGGAGATAAACTCATAAACCCGTAGGTTTGTGCCATCAAAGCTCCTGGGTTTGGAGAAAACAGGAAGGCAAATTTGCAGGACCTTGCTATCCTCACAGGAGGCGAGGTAGATTCATTTGTTATTATCCTATTCCGTCCCCACAATTTTTCATGTTGTGCCTTTTTCTATTTAAAAATTTATATTGCATATTCAATATATATATATTTTATTTATTTATTTATTTTTGTTCACAATGAATTGCATAGGTTATAACTGACGAGCTTGGTTTGAACCTGGAAAAAGTAGGACTGGAAATGCTTGGCACATGCAAAAAGGTGTGTAGAACCATGCAGTTCATTGCATGATTTTTTTTTATTATATTTTGTATTGTATTTTTTTTTCTTTCCGATGGAAGTTTGGGTTTGTCTTCCATTGTTCTTTATCTGACTGTTTGTCTCATCCAGGGAGTCTGGTTATGAAATTGGAGACTAGTCATTGTTGAATGAGTTGATTTTTACATGTTGACTTTTGTGTTGATTTTTACATGTTGACTTTTGTGTTGATTTATGCAACTTATATGATGGATGTGTAGGTTACAGTATCAAAGGATGATACCGTTGTCCTTGATGGTGCTGGTGATAAGAAAGCAATCGAAGAAAGATGTGAGCAAGTGTGTACCACCATTTTTTGACTCCCATCTGTCTGGTATTTTGTCAGGCTTTCATTGTGTTCATGCATATTATTTGATTGATGTCTTGCCATTGTATGTTTGTACTTCTCAGCTAAGGTCGTCGATCGAATTGAGCACTTCTGATTATGATAAGGATAAGCTTCAAGAGAGACTAGCAAAGCTTTCTGGTGGTGTTGCTGTCTTGAAGGTCAGCATTCCTTTTGAAGACGACACTATCGTTGTTCCTGCTAACATGACAATGCCAACAACTTGAGGAATTGTCATTTTTGTTTCTATGAATTGGGAATGCCAACTACTCTTATATAGGCCAAGCAAAAGTTATACATGATCTTCTAAAATTGATATGCAAGTAATGGGACACAGCTTTGTGACGAAAATGATGATGGTAAATCTGTTTATTTT